CCAACGCCTCTAACAACTGGGCCACGAGCCCGTTTGAAACGGACAGGGAAACGGGCTTGAATATATGGCTGAGCGGGGTGCATTTTAAATCCAGAAGTGGGGAGCTGTTTGCATTCTGACTACGCAAACCTACTGTCAAAACAGCAGGCCGTTCCTCTTTCGTTTAATATAATCCGACTAAAACTTGTGAGATAGTATATGCTGTCATCTGTAGCAGCTGGTACCACAAATGACGAAATCAAGCTTTTGAGCTTGATGCTGAGCATGTTCTAGTACACTTCTCAAACTTCGGATTCACTCAGCAGCGATGTCCTCTGTGGAGAACAGTCACTTAGATTCACATGTAAGGTGGAAGGAGTTCCGCCTCCCGGATCTTCTCCGTCCTCATCATTCTCAAACTCTACTTCAAAATATATCGCATACTGTTTTTGGACGAAGCAACCGAAGAATTCCTCTGTGGCCCCTAGTCTCAGGTATCGAAAAACTCGGCGTGAATCTAAAGCCACGACACGCATTGCTGAAATTTGCGTCAGATGCCAAAAGATGGTTGAATAAAACCAAAATGGAAGCACCTCGCCTAGACCTCCCTCTCCAGCACGTAGGCTTGGCAGCCAGCGAAAGACCGACCTGAAGGGAGATAGCCAACGACATAACTGTGCCGGGTCGCAGTGAATCCAACTACCACCCTGGGGTGTGACTGAGTCTATGATTGATTGAACCGGTGACACAGACGATGGGTGTCGTCGCCTCTCCAGACATTTGACGTTAGCAACAGAAGCCGTGCCTTCTTCTTCGAAATACAGGCAAGAAGTGAATGCACCTCGAAATATACCTATTTCTCAAAGTACACTAGTGCAAAACAGAGAGAAGGTTGGCAGACATATGAGGGTAGTCTCAAGCTTCTCTTCGAATCGACGTACGCTTATATAGGGTGTTCACGGTTAGGTAGGCTATTGGTTAAAATTGTGGCAAGTGACCGGAAGAGGGGAGGATCATTTGGCTGGGGGTGTCTAGCTTTCTTTATCAGTATGTGGGCGGGCGGTTAATTGACTTCTGGCCATGGCAACTGCAGAGCTTGCATTAGTGCATTGAATGGGCTCGGTGGAGAACAGTGCTTGTATCCTAGTTTGTAGGAATAACTGGATATAATTAGACTCGGACGCCTCCCTATAGGCTCCGCTTGTCACTTTGGGACGACACAATTCTATAGTCTTCCGGTCTTCCATGGACTGCGCATGCTTACTGGTCGCTTGTACAGCCTAAACAATGGATGATCTACAGCCTAAAACTTTCCCATCGATGCACCATCTGAGAATGGATAAAAAAGCAATGTACAATTTTACCAACAAATTTTAAAGGACTCTAATCTGAAAGGTTTGCAAGCGCACTTTCTCGAATATTTGTATGGATAACAAGAGGACGCCACAGCCGTAATTCCGATTAAAAATTAGTGTCCGTACTTGCAGACGGAAGCAGTTTTTACAGGCGGACAGCAGTCAGCATTTTTCATCTAAAGTTGAGCCAACTCCCAGTTGGTACCGAAGTTCACGAGTATCTGCTTCAGATGCAGACCTTTTTTCTATCCGTGTCTGCGCTACAACATAATTATGATCTAGCTACCAGAAGTGCGCGTGGCCGACACGGTAATGCGTACCGGCACACTTTTTGCCGATCATCGGTCTTCGATAAAAATCCGCCGGTTTACTACTTCAATAGTAGGATTTCAAACGAGCAGGTCTCCGTCATCTACCTCTTCATTCTTCTTCTTATTCTTCCCTCTCTGCTTCTTCCTCTTTTTATGCTTCTTTTTCCTCACCTTATTCTATGCTCTCTGTTTCTTCTTCTTCCTTTTGTGCTTCTTCTTCTTCTTCTTCTTCTTCTTTTTCTTCTTCTTCTTCTTCGTTTTTTTTCGTTCCTCTTCCTCCACATCCCCGTCCTTTTCTTCCTTCTTAGTCCTCTTTATCCTTCTCCTCCTCCTCCTCCTCCTCCTCCTCCTCCTCCTCCTCCGTTTCCTCCTACTCCTTCTTCTTCTTCTTCTTCTTCGTCTTACTCTTCTTCTTTTTCTTCTCAAAAGCACCATATTCAGAAAAGTTACCAATTAAAGACAAATACTACGCTTCAACAGCAAGTACTCTCTATCTCACAAACGTAACTGTGTCCACGCTATACTCCAAGTAGTTGAAACACTCTGGAGTATGCCGACAAACAAAAATGATGAACGGCTATACCCCCCCCCCGAATTCTTCAGGAGTAGCTGCCACCTAAGACGTTTTATTGAGCAAAGCTAGAGGACGAAGATCTAATGAACAGCAACCCGATGTCCAGAGTTCCATTCTCTGCATTAGAGGAGTCTCCGTGACAGTTTCGCGATTGTTACAGCTCTCCAGATCAGGCATACCTCGTCGACCCCAAACAGAAATTTGCTGCCGTTTGATACAATCAAAGGATGGGCTGCCATTCAATGAAACCTTGGCAGTTGTCTGCAAAATATGCTGCAATGTTGGAGACTGCAGTTATGTTGGGGAGGTCCTTCAATAACTTCAGATTCGCAAAACGATCACAAATTGGCAGCTCGGAGGCCACACATAAACCCTCAGTTGGCAGTGCACATTCCATGAACTGGGCATACTTTTGACGTTGAGGGGACGCGCATCTTAAACGGGGACAACTCAGGGACAGAACAATTAACACACTCAGCTTCCAAGTCCATCAACGGACATCTTTACCTTCTTGCAGGTTATGAATCCCTGCGTTATTAGGTACACTAGGACCAGGACAAGACGGACACACGGCAGTTCTACCGTCGATTCCGACGATGTCCACCGTGTGTTACACAGCACGGTGCAGCAGACACGGCGACTTGTGCGTGAATTGGTTTGTAGTGAGAGTGAGTTTTCGCAGCGTCTACCGCACTCTCTCCTCCTCCCCACTCCCCATCTGGACCCTTTGTCAAGACAGAGTCAAGATAAGAGGAGGCGAGGGAGGGCGCAGGCGACTGGCACGGCCGAACCCGCAATTAGACGTGTCCCTACACCCCCTGATCCACACAGCGAATGACCAGGCTTTGGGCCAACAAAAGTAATGTGTGAGCGGCAGGTGTGCGCGAATTCTGCCGGCAGCCGGGTCTGTCACCGCACCCCGAAATGTTGACATTTGTTATGGCGCGCAATCCGACAACGCCTGCCAGAATCCGATATGGCCCCTCTTGATTGTCCAGTGAATCTACCACATGGCACTTTTAGGGACACAGACGGTCACACAGAACTTAATAAAACCGCGCATACACGCCCAGTCGATGAACTCACCCGATGCGGGAGCAAAAGAACTATCAGACTGTACAAAATCCAAAGGAGTTCAGTCGCCGTCCATCTATTTGATGCCTCCTAATGCACTCAGCTGTCAAGCTCGCCAAACATCCTCCAAAAACAGCGGTATCGAAAGGAGAGGAAAATCGATCAGCCCAAGGCAGATTATCCCGGCACGCCTGTTGCACTTCTGTTCGATTTTTGTGCACTTTACACTTTGGCCAATTTGATCAATTTTTCCGTAACGTGAGCACTTCAATAAATCTATTCGGGTGAGCCTCTTTTCAGATAGTCACCCCCGCATATTACTCAGTCAATAAAACTGGAAAAGGACAAATAACGCACCCAAAAAGAATTTTTCTACACTGTTAGCATTTAAATATTATCCACTAATTTCTGTAATATGAACTGCTGCAGTTGAAAATCCGTCCACTGTTTGATTGTGTGTTTTCAAGTGGTCTTACAGGAATCGGGGTTATTTTCGGAATATTTAGGCAATAAGCAAAGCCGGCGTAGTGCGTACAGTTGAGCTCGCATTCGGCAGATTATTACTATATAAACACTACTCATACATTTTAAGTAGTATTACCTGTTGGACGTCTCATGGAGAAAGGTAGAGGGGCGCTGTGCAGGGGAAAATCATTCCGCCGTCATAATACTCGTTGCCTGAAGAATTCAGAACGAAGATTCGGCCTGGACACTTTCGCACGTAGCTTCGCCGAGTGTTCACAAAGATGAGGCGAGAGATGCCTCTGAAGCATGTCTTAAAAACGTAGTCCTCTTTCATGGTACTGCATCATCTTGCAAGCCAAAACAAGAATTTACCCCTTTGCTGCCTGTAAAACAGAGATATTTCAACCCTTTTTAGCCTTTTTGTGCGATGTTTTTCTTTCTCGGGACATTGTGTCCTTCAACAGGCATGGCCGCCACGCCTGTGCGCCATGTTCTAGGTGAGGTAGAACGAAGGTGCGTAGACTTACCAAAGAAGCCTTTGTTGAAAGTTGTAAACGCCTTCTGATAGCATGGAGTCTCCTTGGCGTTTTCGCTGCCTCGATGTATCGCAATGGCGTTTTCAGACAGCTTTGTATCCAAACACAGAGATGCTTCTGTGAATATTCTATGGAGAGTTGAATGTCTCTCAGGACATATATCCTCATGATGACGTTTGGGTGGTATTTGATTGGAGGCAGATGGGAGCTGCACACTTCTCACATTGAAATCCAGTAGCCATCACTTTGACCATGCTTTCAGTCGGTATTGATTATTTTGATGAGCCCTCTTGTCATCCGGGCCCTTGCTAACTTGCCAGAGCCTAAAAGTCATCGGGAAACATGATCGTAGAGTGGCAAAGATGCAGATGGCAGGTCACTGACACAAAGAATAAGGAGCAATGATTGCAGAACTGTCATGGGGCGTTCAGTTTATGCAAGAAGCGTTGATTTGGGACACTGTCGAAGGTTCTGCGGAAGTCGATGAACATTAAATCTCCTTCATTGTAAGGGTGTCACTGGACACTGTACTTTCACAAGGTCACTTTCTCGGCGAAATTTGCGGAGGGCATGTAACATAAGAGGCGTATTTCGAATCAGGCTATGGGTAATAAAGTTAAAGAGTCGATGATTATCAAAAAGGACATAATTCTTTTAATTTCCTCAGAAATTAACTGTAAATTTGGAGTAGATCAGTGTATTCTAGGTGTATATGCTCAGATCGAATTTGTTAAATATTAATATTTTGCCAAAGACCTAGAATATACTGATTTTTCCCCAGTTTGCAGATAATTTCTGAGGAAATTAAAAAGTAACAATTTCTAAATTGGAGTATCTACCACAAAGCAGACGGGGAATTCTGAGGGACCCACGAATGGGCCGAACTACCCTCAGCTGTGCCATGCAGCCGCAGAATATCGGCGAGACACGCGTGTACGGGCTTTTAGTTAGTACCTTTGCTGTTAGTATGATATCTCTTTACCCTGGAAAAGGACAGGATTCAGCTGTCTTCTAAACTCATTTGCAGTGCTACAGTTACGGTCTTGCCTGAGAACGATTTTTATGGCCAGACAGTCGGTTTGCTAGAGGAAAGCCTTTGTTGGACCAGATGCATAAGTTCGCGATCGACCTTCTGCAGATGGTCGTTTAAATGGTTTATGATGGCATCGTGGGAAGAACCGGCGCCGTCGGTATCTAAGCCTTGTTGAACCAGATGCATCTGCGACGAAGCGGCCAGACCGTGGGGATGGATGATAAGCGTCTGGTCAAGCGGCTGGCAAGGGTATGGCTTACGCCCGGGGTCACTTATTCCGAGGAGCAATTGTGTTGAGGAAAAGAGTCGAACATTCAAGAACTTTGTGGTACCACAAATTCTGATCCTCCATACTGTCACCAATCAAAAGGGGACAGTATTTTTTACCATTTAATGATAATAATAAATAAAGTTAGTGTCAATTCGGAGGCATTGTCGAAAAGGCATTACATTGTCGTATTTTTACTCCGATGAATTCCTGAAAGCCTCTTGACCAACCTAACGCAGCAGCCACCGAGAGGTCTTTTCATTCCTTTCTCTGTCACCTACAAATAAATATTGCCAGTCATTTACTTTTAACACAACTTCTCCCCGAAATAAGTGATCCCGGGCGTAAACCATACCCTTACCATGCGGCTATTTTACGGCTGGTCGTATGCAAGGTCGACAAAGGGTCGCTAAAAGGACACCGTGGAGACCTTCCTCGGGCATCTACAGATGAACCCGGAGACCTGGGTGAACTTCGCTGGGACAGCGATCGTGTCTCCTTCTTCAAGACTACTTCCTGGAACTCGTATCTTCGCTTCTATAACTCGAGTTGCATTTTGGAATGACTGGAGGATTGGGTGCCAACTTGAAGTGGTTCTTCCAGAATGTGACCTTTATTGCACCAGCACGCGCCTGCGGTCCGAGCCAGAACAATGAAAGCCTGGTACAGATTGTAAGGACTATGTCGTGTGTGCACGCGTAGACAGGCTGTGTAACTCAGTCAGTCACTGCGCCCAAGACCAGCCGACACTGTCCTGTCACCGGATTAAGGTGGACGAGGGAGGAGAGCGTGTGACAGATGTTGCACAGATCTATTCCACCATAAATTAATTCTCCCGCCACAATCATCAATGCTGCTCACGCTGGACGTTTTCGTCCACGGCCTTCAAACGGTCATTATGCTTTCAAGCTCAATTAAGTTCACCTATTCTGATAAACAGCTATGCCTGCAGGGAGTACGGAATGCTCACGGTAGGTTATATCTTAGTTGTACTTAACGTAAAGGAAATAAACCGAACTTGATTTGCGTTTCACAGATTCTTGGAAACATCGACCCTCTTTGCGCTCCTTGTTGAGATAAATATCATCCCTGAAACATGACTCCCAATAAAGCATTCCGTATTGCGGTGAAGGTTTAAGGGGCAGGCTAAAGATTAGTGAGAAGCATTCAGAAAGAAAGCTGATGAAAACACGAATAAGGCATTGTCGGGGACCAGTTGTGCGGTGGAATTAAATTCGCCGTCGCTCCAAGGACTGGAATTCCATCAATGTGCTGCTGTTTGTCCGTCAAATAATATTGCTGACGCACGTCCAAGTGCGAGAAAAACGCATTTGAGCCCAGTAAACTTTTGAAGCCCTCTGGCCGGTCAGACTATCAGATGTCCAGCGTTTTCTTGTAATTTCTTAGCGCTAGCAGGACTTCTGATGGCATTCCACATTTTTGATATCAGCTAAAATGACCACCTCCATGTTAAGATTCCGTGAGAAGAGGACTTACAGTGGATGCGCAATCTCATGGAATATTGGTTGAAATTCTGTACGTTTTCAAGCTGAAAGGACTAATTAAGTAGGGTTGTAATATTAATAATCGTGCCGTATTATCCCCAGATATTTCAGCCGCATCAGGATGCCGGCTTTTGAACGAGCTTGTTTTCAGCCGCCTGCATAAACTAAATGCTGTAAAAATGAATGTTGAAGTAGTATTTATTTTCCCGATTCGCTTTAGATGCCCTTATACATTCAAATATATTTTGCGAGGTTGCGCAAAAATATTCCTTTTTGTACTCATGTGGTGGAAAATTACGTCTTGTCCAACTTTTATACTTGAAGTATCTTTCGGTCTTAAAAATAATTTCTAATTGTGAGACTTTTAAGACCATGAAATGCCGACTCAAACAACATCGCATCAGGACGTTTCATGAATGCTGTGAGACATCTTCCTAACAGCGTTGAGAACTGTGTGGCATTCCTCTGACGGAATGTATACGGCATATAGTTTGAAAACCCTTAATGCAGGTGAAACGGCAGGTGGGGCAAACAATTATTCGGGAATTGAAATTTTTTTTAAAACTGAAACACCCTTTAAGTAGGAAATTCGAAGAAGACGTGATTTGCTACTAAATGAGTTCAAATGAAATTACTCTTGTGCGCGTTTCCTATAAAATATAACTGAATTTGTAAGTGCCCCGAACACCAATGTGAAATGTTCCTGCTACTTAAGTAGTCATTTTTACTGTGCATTATTGCAGACAACCAAAAAGAAATTGATCTAAAAATTAACATCCTAGAGTGACTGAAATATCTTGGAATTATGCTGCACCATGTTATAGCCCTACTCAGCTAATCCTTTTGGATCGAAACATATTTTAGAATTTCGGTTAACATTCCATGAGATAGTACATCTACCGAATCCTAGAGAAGGTCGTTTCCTACTGGTACCAAAAAAATGCCTTGCATACTTAATGACATAAAACGTTTTGATTATTTTAAAGTGGTGCCTTCGGTTAAACACCTCAATACTTTTCGTAAGAGACGCCGATGAGGTACTCTCGAAGGACTTCTTGAAATCGGAGAACGTCCTTTCAGCCGGATAGTCCCGGCCTACCTCGTTAATAGAGAACGCTCGTATGATAACAGCGACCATGACGAAAACAGCGCAGATTTGAGGACAGTATGTTCCACGAGCAGTGCCACGTCTACTGAAAACAATAATAGTACGAAAGTTTTGAAGAAGACACGATCGCCGGGACAAGAGCTTTAATAGCCTGACGTTTCGGATTCCTGCTCGAATCCATCATCAGAGACATAAGCAGATAAGGGTGGCTCATGCACATGCGGCTGCAGTATTTATAGGATGCAGTAGCCATGCTACCGCATACCTATGAATATTCATGGCTCCCTCCCCTTCATCAGGGTTCGTTGCCCGTGGCGTGATGGCCGATATTCGCGTCGTTAATTGCTGCAATTTCATCACGTGCGTTGGATGTTGGTGTGATGATTGCTCGACCATCTGACGCGTTGACCCGGGTGTTGGGAAGAGTGTTCACCAGTGCGCTCCCCGCGTGGCCAATTACTCCAACAGACGTTGCAATAGGCTGGGCGGCTAACTTGACCCAAATGTAATTAAACTCGAGTCGTCCGGCGGGGCCTCGTAGCTCAAGTGGTTAGAGCGTTGGCTATACTAAAGCCTTCTCCTTACTGCGTGGGTTCGAATCCCATCGAGGCGCCGAGTTTTTCACAGTTGGGTCAATATGAATTATTCAAAACCTGCCAAAACATCTATGAATAACCTGATCCATTGTGGTTGGATGTCGGGCTACAGTGCTTCTTACTCAACGTAACCTTCACAATGCCTCTTTTGGGATTCGAGGTTCGTTCTTTTCAGGCCTGGTCTGTGTTGGTGAAAGAATCAGCAATATTAAATCCGGCGACCCTTACTGTACTCTCATCCGGATGGGATCCGAGCCGATCCTTCTGCTTCGTGAAGATCTGGCTCGACTGGCTGGTGCCGGGCCGCGTGTAGCGCGCGTAGACGGGACTGTTCAGTTTCCAGCCACCGCACCCGAACCCGCCCCCCGGTTGTCCTAGCCCCGTCTTACCGCTAGGCCAAGGCGGGTAAGAAACGAGGTAGTGTGGCGGGCGCTGCGCAAGTCACCGTCTCAGGTCCACCTCGTCGTAGAGTACACATTTGACGCCGTCGAACAATCACCCCTCTTGCAGGCCCGACATGGGTGGATGTCAAAACCGAGCCATCAATCGTTTGCATGTGCCAGTTTGGCCTAGTCTACAGATGATTAGCCCCTCCAGCTTGAACCTGCGTGAACAGACACACTTGCAAGTTGGGGCTCCCGGCTTTTAAATGGAGTTGTAGAGGGCAAGCCCGATCGATAGTAGTTCCTAGTCAAACTCATAATATTAGCTAGTGTCGAAAAGAGACACCGGTCACATCTTACCCTCTTCACCAAGGTAAGACTTGATTTCCTGCTGGATAGTTTAGTAGGGCATAGTAAGAACATTTTGGGAGGAACCAAACTCCCTCAATCCAGTAGGGTCCATTCGACAGAAGAGGCTGTAGTGCCCAACAGCACTAGGAAACTTGTTCAGTCGCTCAATGATCTGCACACATACACCCGACAACCGCAATACGAAACCTGTGGTAGGGTACTCGTTCAATGGGACAGGACTCTGTTTGGTCAAACCTCTGCGAAGCACGACAGCCATTCACCGGTGCCCATTGGTCAAAGACACCCAGATCTTAGGGAATTCCGTTACTGAAACTAAGGTTACACCACGGAGTCCCTCGCTAACACCTGCCGACTGTTCTGAGCCTTTTGCCGAAGCCCCATTTTCAGACCGCCGTCAACCCATGAAACCAACATTCTACTCTTCTCCCGACTTCTAGGAAATGTTGGGAAATCAAAACCCACGAATTCGGAGCAATCTCTCCACCGATACTGGAGACGAGACCCATTTAGCATGTACTACAACTTGCCAAACCGCCTCACCCACTCACAGAGCTAATGTGAAGTCTACCCCAGCCCTGCCGGAATCGTCTTCTTGGGCCTTCAAGGCGATCAAACCATCTTATCTCAACAAACGCCGATGCCAAAATGAAGGTACAGAGTAAACAGAATAAGTCGACAGTCGCTACCCTCTCCCACGTCAAACCCGCCACCAGAAGGCAGGTCAGACCTGACCTCCTGAGACAAGGTGGAGCGCATGAACCCGGCCTGACACCTAAGGCAGCCGACTTAACGCGTCGTCACTATGGTGACGACCTCGGGGGTAAATACGCCAGCAGCAGCGGAACGCGTTGGCGAGACAGATACTACTCAGTCGATGCGGGCAGCCATTGCCTACGTGGCGAGGTGAAGAAAAGGCTCTAAGCTCGCCACCATCTCCACCTAGGGTATTCTAGACCGGTAGAAACACGTCCAGACACTACAAGTTTCCTCTCTAACCTTACACGGGGTGGGCAGGAGAAAGAGCAAAAAAGACAGCATTTAGAAGAACTGCGTTTATTAGTCGGGAACGCGGGGAGGAAAGAAGCGGCGCTGACAATGAACAAGGCACGGGGAAGGGAGGGGGGAGCTGAAAGGATTACCGGGGTTCCTAAATTAGGGTCTACATCGGCCCGTGTAACGCGGGTACAGACAAACATCACGAATGTGATACTGTCCGAGCATCCAAGTGCAAAAACGCTCGAAGCCCAAGCCATATCCCCCGTGCGGGCATGTACCAAATTGACGCTGAAATGTTAAGAAACATTAAGTTAGCGGCGACGAGATAGAGCCCAGAAGGCGTGGGATTATGAAAAGGACCGATATACGCCTCATCATGATCGCTGCAGACAGCAAACAAGAAAGATGGCCTAAAAAGTACGAAGTACGTCGACTCTGGTGATGAACGGAGTGATTTCATGCTAAAGACTGTCGTCAAAGTACCAAAAAGGTGGGGTTACGACAAAAACTGGGTGGTATTAATTACATCAAGTAACAGACACAATTCAGTCTCATGCACTACGAACTCGATCGGTGCAATTTACTGCGAACAATTACACTGCCGCGAAGTTGAAAAGGGGTTAATTGACGCACAAGGAGGACGCTTCAGGCGTCTACTAATACTCCTACTCATAGCTAGGACCATGGTGACCTGTTTTTACAGAGGCGTCACTCGGCGGCACCGCATTTCCCAAAAGTCACTTCGAGTTCCGGGTTGTTGGCACAAAGAGTGAGGTAGCCACAGAAAACCGAAACTTCTCAGCAAATACCAAAAAGTAATATGCTACGAGTAGGTAGCATGTTGTCGGCAGAATGGAGGACAGGATCTTGTCACATGCTGGGATTGACGACCAAACACTTGCTCTGCTCTGCGTTTCTCGCCCTCTTCAAATAATAACAAACCCTAATTAGGTACGTGGATGGGAACACAACGAGGTGGGCACCATAAACCAACGGGGCTCATTTAAACACACCTAGGTGGTGTTAAGTGTAGACTTACCTGTTGAGTGTACCAATAGTATGGCTCCGGGGAAATGCCCTCACGTTTGTATCCCTCAAGCAAATCCTCGTATCCTGTCATCCTCATGGAACCGCCAACAATCTCTCCGACACCGGGAATCAACAGATCAACCTTTAAAAGAGGCAAACACGGAGAAATTTGCCCAGCGGCAACGAGAGGAAACAACCAATGGTACTTTACACTGCTCGTTGCTTAGAAAACGCACATTTTGGCTGTACAAAAAGGCAAATTCACAGTCAGTTTCTCTATAAAGAAGACAGTCGACACAACAGTGAGAGGCATACCGATTCAGTAACCGTCGGGTCTCCCTTGACTCTTTGCATATAGAAGGCCTTCAGGGTAGTGGGGAATTTGATTAGGAGGATGGGCACTCCGATGGTGTCAGTCATCTGCCTCTCAGGGGCCTCGGGGATATCGTCACCGAAGACGAAAGGAGTCTGATCTTCCTTCTTGATGCCGTGTTCGTTGAGCCATTTAATGGCATCCCGGTACTCCATTCGTCGGAATGGACGCTTTGGTGCCACGAATTCCTGAAGATGGCAGGGGGTGAGAAGTTAACAGAGCGCAGAATACTCCACCACTTCGAATAACCGTCTCTGTTCTGCAGCACATGCAACTAAAGTAGCACATGTGTGGGGGGGGGCATAGTCATCGTCAGCAGCTTCTCCAATGACTTACAGGGTTGATCTCGAGGACGAGGTCCTTCGCCACCTTCATGACTCGCTCAGTGACGTCAACGACTAGATCTTCAATGCTGTTCAAGAGGTCGTCAAATTGAATGAACGGCAACTCGGCCTCCACATGAAGGTATTCAGACAAATGTCGGCGAGTACGGCTCTAGAATGCGGAAATTCGAATGGCATAAAAATGATAAAGAGGGGAAGTTTAATAGAAATTGGGGTGTAAAACGCATTTAATGGGCTGAAGCTTGGAAGGCCCAGTGCAAATGAACAGTTGCGGCATGCTAACCCGACACTTCAGGGGTTGCGAAACTCGGTCTTCGCGAAGGCACAAATAACTAGCCACCTCCACTGCCTTTCTGGCTCAAATAAAAATCACCAATAGACTTAAATAAATATTTTCGGTCTCAGTTAATGTGCAGATATTTGAAAGCAGTAGGAGTAATTGCAGCCACCCTGATCCCAGACAATCAATTCAAGCACAAGGAAACTATGTAGGGAGAAAATCTAGAAAATTCAAACGCAGGAAGTGTTATCAACATGAAAAGAGACAGATCATTGTGAGAGAACACAAGGCAGCCAATCCTCGCAGTCACTGCCATAGAAACTGCAAGGCTACACTGATGCACAGATGTGGACATCAAAAGGGTAAGATTGTGCACTTCCAAGAGGCCATACCTTTTCAGCACGATAACTCCGAACCATGCAGAAACAGTCACCAACGGCTGGGATACAGGTTTCAAGATACAACTGGCTAGATTGAGTCAAGTAGGCCTCCTCACCAAAGTAGTTGAAGCTGAAGAGCGTAGAGCCCCCCTCAACTTGAGTTTGTACGAGTGTCGGTGGGTGGACCTAAAAAAAACAGACGATTAAATGGAGTTCTACCAAAAGTGCGGCGTGGTAAACTTTACTGTGATAGTCAAGCGAATCTCAAAAGAGGCAGTAAGAAAGTTGGATTTATGGCAGTGAAATGACGCGCATAGTGGGGAAATATGGGTTGATCAGGACCTATACGACCTCAGTGTCTTCGGCGGAATACCTAGTTCATCCAACGCGGCAACAAACACCCCTTATACCCGAGATGGCACTAGGGACAAGCGCGTTAATGTAATTATAGTGGCAAAAGATCGGGCAAGGTCGATCGCCTCTTCTCTCTCATAGCGATTCAATGGCCAAAACGAGTCCAGTCGATTGGGCTGTTGCCGACTTGGCATCTTGCCTTAGCCCTCTTTATTTGACCTCCCCCCTTCCTGTAGATGTTACGTAACAGCGCTGGCCATTTTCGATCGATCTGCGGACAAACCCGTTATGCGCTGCACCGGCGATAGGGCTAGGCGGGTTGGATACCGATGCCTCTCAGCGAGGCACAAATCCCTCAAGTGACTATGCATGGAGGCCCTTGTTCACAAGTAAGGACGACTGATTGACATGAGGCTGCGAGTGACAAGCTGCGGAACTGCAAAAAGGTGGTGGCGCCACATCCCCCAACCTAGGATACACATCTAGAAAAAAAACCTGGTAGTCTGTAATTTTAACGGTCAAAAGTTTTTCAATGACAAATCGCAGAAACTGTGGATCAGGGAATATCAACTGTTTGAACAGACGACAGGCGTATCCTAGATGGCTCTGATGGCATAGTCGGGAGGTTGGCGGCTCGACTCCATCCTATTTCAAATAGTCTGACGCTAGGATGCTGGCACTTTTATGATAAACAGTTCTTAAGACGCCAAATCTGGAGTGAACCTTACGATTTTAGACTGCCTTGGAACTCTACAGCGTGAACATAGATTCAAAACGGCGTCAGTGAAACGGCCCTTCTGCTTAAATCATGCACTTCCGAACAGTACCTACTTTGAAGGGTGGGGAACTAGATACAGACTTCACACGCAGTTAAGAGGAAGACCAACCACATGCTCTGGTTTCAAGAGAAGCGTCCATGGCATACTTCGTGAAAACGCAAGACCGATGGCCGGGCCGAAAAACACCACAAAATGGGGAAGAGAGTAAATTGCATATTCTTACCTCAGTATACCCACGATCCCGATAATGGTCACGGAAGGCCTCCGAGATAATGGAAGTCAGCTTCAGGATTTTGGAGCCCTGTCAATGAGAAACGTAAAAATTCGATCAGTGGAAGTAAGGGCTTGGGAGAGTAAAACCAACTCAGATAATGAAATAAGGCAAGCAGACAGCACGAACCCTCATTCCTCGAATTATGAGATGTCTGTTATCCAGTTGAAGATCAACCTCACTATCCTTTGTGAGGATGGATTCGACACCGCCAGCAGGAGCCTTTCCGATGCATTCCCAGTAGTCGGCTTGTAGTTCAATGTCGCCAGGTGCACGCTGGCCCTCAGGAACCTTCACCAGCTTTCCACACACGAACAGTGAGGACTCCGGCGATAAAGTCAGGGCGTCGGCAGTGAGACACTGGAGGGAAACATCCGAAATTAATTGGAAAGCCGGAGACAAACGGAAGACTACAGGCTTACAAATGACCTGGAGGGGCCCTGAACAGGAATCTTGGCCAAAAAATGACAAAACTGGAAGCATGTGCAAACTCAAAGGGGTTTAGTGAGGCTCTGGAGAGATCGAATTTACACTTAGGGGCCGGATGGTTCAGTTCAGTTACATTAACCATATCGCCTCCCTAGCGTCAGAGCGCCGTGCCTCGGGTAAATGAGATCTTTCAAGCAAGAAATGCAGAAAGGACAGTATGACTCCCGGCAGCATATCAGACCAAGGAAATGAGTCCCTAGAGATTAACAGCTTACGGTCTGAAATGTACAGTTTGAAGAACATCCGAGCGTAGTTGCCAATTGGACAGAGCAGGAATTATATTATCACCAAAGTCAATGATACTACGGGATTTCGGAAGACCCAGATGTCCATGGACCACTTCGCAGTACCTTAATCACCAAGAAGGTACGGATGAGCCACGCATCCATCTGGTTGGCACCTCCTTACGGTCAGGCTGTGTGCGAAAACAGGAGTTTTGACAACGGCTGCCTGGGAACCAACCCTCGATTGACGTACGCCTACCTCGTCTGGAGTAAGACGGAGCGCAGTCGGCGTAGAAAGTTCGCGGAAACATCTCAGACTGATAAAGACGATCGAGGTTATCTAGACGCTTTCTTGTTTAGCCTCCCAATCAGTTCACTGAAGCCTGAATTTCTGAAGCCTGCGCCCACCTGGTAAAATCAAAACCTGAATCGACAGCGTCCGCGAGGACACGAGGGTGGTTTTTGGATCTTTGATTCCTCTTTCTGAAGAAGGCAGTAAATCGTACCCTCTAGATCCGCTGCCGCTGGTCCTCAAGCCTGGAGGCTCAATCTGGGACGTCAGTCTGGTCGGCTCGAGCAGGCACGAGAACAGTTGTCTGAAGTACAAGATTATGAATCTGGTTAGGGACAGGATGCTACGATGTGCTTGAAAGGTTGAACTCGAGTTCTGATGCATAGACAGGACTTTTAGCAACGCAATGACTGCATAATTCTTCACTAGTAATTAGTCTAGTCACCGCAAGCCATGCGTAGTATAGCAAAGATATTTGATTTCTCGCATATCGGCTTTGATTACTCGAAGCAGAGCACGATGGCCCAAAATGAACCCTCATGGACAAACACCTAACCGGCGCAAGTTACCTTCAAAAACACGCAGAGCTATTTACTAACCCTGTAGCCCTCGATAAACTTGGACGAACGTCATCCTTGAAAGCACGGATGGCGGATATGGACATGCCCGACGATCACACGAACCAAGACCACGACGGTTTTGGCTATTGCAAACGTGATTATGGGAGACAGGGAAATGGTCCAGGCAGCATCGACGGAGACGGTTTTAATATGGGTTAAAACAAAGAACCAAAACTCCAGATGAACATCTCCAAACAAATACCGGAGAACTAGAAAAAGTGCGGACGGTGGGGACCTACCAAGTTGTCTGCCAACACACACTGCAAAAACCCAGTACCGTCACGCAGCAGGATGAACATCAACTTCTTGCTCTGACGCCTGACATTGTGCGCCCAGCCGTAAACCTTGACGCGTTGGCCTATAAAATTCTTTAGTCGGCGAATTTTCGCTTGTTTTGCGGCTGGGAGAGACTTGTCCTCCGTTATGACAAGAGCTTCCAGTGCTTCCCCGGCAGCAGTCACGGCCTCCTTTGTGGCGGCAGCCGGCTGTTGGGACTTGCAGACAAAAAAAATTAGTGGGAAACCTCGCCGATAATTAATAAACATTGTGAATTCCAATAAGATGTGGTAACTACGAAGATGTCAGCTAGTCCGCCTGTTAAAGAGACTCACCCCAGCTTTTGCCTTGTTCTGTGCTGTTTTGAAATTTTTGAGGTTCTTTTTTAGCCTTGTCTTTGGTATCGGTGCCCACCGTTCTTCTGTACCGTCAACGAAAATGCAAGTACTCGCCGGAACATCTCCATTCAGTGACTTCAGTGCACGCATGACGGTCTTAAATGGGTGCTTTTCTGAACCATCACCCTTGATGTCGTCACCATCCTTTTCGGACACGTATAACTTCGGCGGTGCTAAAAAAGGATAAAACCGAAAAATAATTATGCTACGTAACAAGCGCAATCAAGTTGGATGTCCTATGGGTGCAGCAAAGTTGGATCGAGTTTGGAGTTGCCACCCTTCATCTTAACCCTTTGCTTACTTGGTCAGCTCACGACCTGGCTCAACACGGTCCGCAAAGACAGGAGAATGATCCTTGGGTCATTGGTTCTCATTGTTGGCAGAGAGTGCGCCAGGCTCTCTAGATCCACTTCCTCTGATCACCAAGAGTTAAGGTTCAATCTGGACATCGGCCACGGTGGCTTGATCAGGCGCGATCACATTCGTGCCAAGTACAACTAGCAGTGTTTGGCCTCGTCAGTTCCAACCGTCTCAGAATACCACTTGGTCTTTTCTTGACAGGAACTTCTGGATGGAAGTTGGATAGTAATTGGATCAAAGTCTGCGACTGCACGTACTTCCTCTGGCTCCAGACTCTTCCTGGGCACCTCCCAATTAGTCTCGATGCAAGACGGAATATTTTCGCGATGTCAATTTGGCACAGAAATGTCCCACACAATGTCGATTTTTGGCCAAAAAAAACGAGTTTTAAGTTACCGAGACCAAAATGGTGAGGAGCTTTTCAATGTGGATGTTTGTTTCGGTCAAGGTCTGTAAGTTTCAACAGACCAACCTCTCTGAAAGCGGGTATTACATATCCCCAGCATACACGTGGAACACCTATCTGCTCACATTGAACACAAGACGCAACATATGAAAAAACCTTTACTGGAACAGGGCTGAATACATTTGATAACATCTTTTGACATTTCATCGAGGAAGCCACTAGTATTTCTACAGACAGTCGTGTAAGCGACACGACCGTTTTTCAAGGAACTTCATACTCTGACCAGCCCCACAAACGTCCTCTCACAGGCGCGAAACGGACGTCGAAGGAACGCGAAGAAAAGTGAATATGGAAACCGAGACCCACAGGGGTGCACATCTTTTACTGCACTACAGGTACTACTCAGTCGAAGGCAAAACTCGCCGTGTGTGTCCACTAGTTTGAGGGAGAAAGCTTTCATCTACATCGCAACTGGAAAATAATGGTAAGATGTATTAAATAATTATAGAAAGATGTAAATTCGTCGAAGTGCAGTGGTCGGCAACTCAAGATCTACACGTGATGTGTAATTTAACTACACAGGCAGCAGAGGTAGTAGCTAGAGGCCCTTGAAGCTGAGTCATCCGGAGGCTGAATATCGGTCAAACACGTGTATGGGCTTTGAGATGACTGATTTACTCCAAGTTAGCGTACTAACTTGTGCGGGATTAAAAAACTGAAACTCGAGGTTTCCCGAACCAAAAGTCAGGATAAGACAACATTATTTGCAGCTAAGAGCGTGCACGTGACTCAACAGGAGGTTGCAACAGCCGTTCTCAAGCCGAGTGTTAGTCGGGTTATGTCGTTAGATTCATGCGTTTGGGCTTTAGCCGGCTGCGACCAATCGACGAAGGTAAACACTGACCGGCGTCATGGTTCTGGAGACCTGATGGATGGCTCACAAGCACACAGACAGTGACGAACAGGAGGATAAGGTAAACAAAAGGCGACATGGGTGAGCGGCAGCGCAGGCGACAACGGGAGCAGACTGTTCCGGTGCCTCCCGCTTAGACCGGAGGTCGTCACAAACAAACACTGTGGGACAAATTCTGTATCAAAGCATGTGGACGATAAAACGGCCGGGGAAGTGCGTTCAATAGCCGCTATGAGTGATACACAGGAATGCCATAACCAATGATGCTCGTTGCACACTAAACGGTCTTTTCTCCTTGCGCAGACCTTACTACTGCACTTATAAAAAAAACCTAATAGGATCCACGCACCTCTGAGAATAAATATATAATTATCCTTCTCAAATTCACGAGGCAAGGCCCACCAACAAAACCAAGCTTTTGTGGATGCATGATTATACGAGCTCATATATGATTATAATAATCATCCACACTTGAAACCGTTTATAAAAATTTGCTGCGATCAAGAATGCAACAAAATATACTTTACTGTCAAATAGAAAGTTTATGAAAACAGATAATAAGTGAGTAATTACCGTCAGCCGACATGATAGAGGGCTAAGCACGAGGGAAACTAGCAGGGCGATGAACGGCCTCGCCTAATCGCGGGTAGAATCTTGTAGGGTCGCCGCTGCCCACGCGTTCCCCATAGTCAAAAACACCTATTCGGTGATTCATTAACTTTCTCCACAAACTTTCTGAGAATATTCCTCGCTAACTTCAATGGCGCTGGCTGTTGTGATTTTAAGCCGAAAACTATGCACGAAGTATTAACTCTGTTAGCGTTGGAGTTATTGCGGGGGTTAGGGTTGGGATTAAGTTAGGGGATAGGGTCGGGGTTTGGCAGGAGCTTGTTGCATAATGAAGTTTACTGCTGAGACTAGTCATATGGTGCGGTTAGGGTTCGGGTTATGGTAATAAGCATCCGCCCCGCAGCTTCGAAGATCCTAGTGACATTGATCAAAGATAAGGCGATGTGCCACTTAACAGAGAATAACCTATAGAATGCTGCCCAGCATGTATTCCTCAAAGCTCGGTCTTGTGACACCTTGAGCTCTCTTTCTTTGACCATCTTCTCCAACCTATGGACGATGATTTTGCACTTTACATAGTCCAGTTTCATTTCACTAAGGCTGTTGATTGTGTTGAGCATGTTCTTCTTGTCTTGAAACCCTCTTCTTGCAGAATAGGTTGCAAACTTCTGAATTTTATATCCTCTTACATGAGAAGTGCCACAAAACGAGTTAAGATTTTTAATGCTATCTCCAACCCCACATGTGTGAGGAGTAGAGTCATTCAGGGCAGTGCACTCGGTCCGCAATTATTTTGTCTTCATCTTAACGATGTACCGGATTTATTTCCGATTGGTAAGTCCTTCATGTATGCCAAGGATCTGAAAGTAACACAGCGATATGAACCGGCACATAATGACATCACGCTTAAGTTCCGAAACAGCAGCCTACAGACCTTTGTCCTCTGTTACAGCACATGGCGCCTTTCTCTTTCCTGGCATAAGTGCACAGTCATTATGGTTGGCGACGACTGCCAACCTCAGTCAGTCAGTCAATGTTTTTGAGGGAAATAGGTTTAGGTCTTTGAACTCCCTATTTGTACACAAAAATTGATAAATAATCAAAAATGTGAAAAAAGATACAGCATTAAGTGAAGGTTGGCATCGATTCATATATGTCACTGGTTTTTTTGGTTACAGAGTAGCATAGTCTGCTTGTCGCTGAAGCATACGTCTGGTAAGCCGACATTTAAATGTCTCAACAGATTGAGCCATGACAATCGTCTGGGGCAGGTTATTCCACGGTTCCACGACACGGTTGAAGAAGAAATACTTCCTCACATTCAATCTACCTGAGGCACACGCAGCTTGAAGGGATGTCCCCGGAGGTTGATTGTAGTGGTGAGATGGAAAATGTCGTCGAAGGGCGCAGTCCAAGCCACGCACGGTACGGAAAGTGTGTATCAAGTCGTCGCGTAACTGCCTATAACTCAGAGGATGGAGATCAAGGTTAGTTAAGCGGATCTCGAATGGCAATGCACTTTGACCTCATATTAATTTTGTTGCTCGTCTTTGCACCCTTTCGAGCAGATTGTAATCCTGATGAGTCCACGGTCTCCAGGCCTGAATTGCATATTCGAAATGCGGTCTTGCAAACGTGCCGAAGACTTTGGAGAAGAAGTCTTCATCGAAAACTGCGAATGCCTGCTTGATGGCAAATAGCATTGAATTTGCGACCTTGGCCGCCTTACAACATTGCGTAGATGGCTATAGGCTGTCTGCAGCCCAGACTCCGAGACCTTTCTGCATTTCTGCTTCTCGGAGTGGCATTCCGTTCAGATGGTATTGCCGCGTACTAGGGGTCTGATGTCCGAGGCGCAGTATGCTGCATTTTATCAAATTGAAGGACAAGAGCCATCTGCGGGATCACTCGTCCAATCGACGAAGATCTTCTTGGAAGTTGGTCTCATCAGCAGCATTTTCGATGACATTCCAGATTTTTTTGTCATCTGCAAACATGGCACTATCAGAGAAAGTTGTTGCTTCCGTATCTGAACATGACAGGACAGGGGAACTATCATCGTCTAGAATTATCACCTCAGTTCCGCTGGTATCAACAAGCGTTTATGTTTCGTGATCGAGAACGAGAACGGTGCCGGCCGGATGGTCGACGGGGGATGAGACGCTCGAGCTGGTGTTTCAGAGAGGCCATCTCTTTCTTCATGGCCACCGTATGTATAGCCACTTACTCCAGGTGTGAAACTACAGGAAAGAGGACGGCTGGAACCACCGCATCCTCCTCATTCAGTCCAGCATCTTGGCTAGGTGTGAATCCTACAGATCCTCAAACTCAAGCACTAGGATTGTATGGACATCTGTGAGCAGTCGCCCAAAAAAGAAAGTGAACAGCTCAAAATCAATATTTACTTTGCCAAAGAGTGTCCGCATCCTTCATACAAGCGTTTTCGGTTTGCATTCGTATGTATGTATGCATGTATGTATGTAAGTATTGGAGGCAGAGCCCTTGATGAGCATATTAATGTACAGTTCTTTCCCAGATTCATACTCAAAAATAAAATAAAATTGCAGGCATTTGAAATTTGATTGGGTCACAGTTCAATCGTAATCGTAAGGTAGTGCATAGGATCACTGTAGATAAGTGTCACTGTAAATTAGTGCGGAAGATTGTATATGACAGATTTTACAAAACTGGCCGTGCATAGTCCTGCTGTACAAGACGATTTCTGTCGAAAACTAGACGAGCAAGTTTTCTTTTTAACACACAAACTGTGTCAGCCGTCACAATCTCGCTTGGAAGCGAGTTCCACAGCCTGACAACCCTCTGGCTGAAAAAAAATTTTCGCCGGTCTAAACGTGTTCGCTCATTCCCGACTTTGTACGCATGGCCGCGTAGTTGGTTTGTACGGGCGAACTCAAAGAGGTCCTCTGCTCTTAATGAGCAACCCTGGCCACGAACAATCCGGAATATCCAGAGTAAACTGCAATTTATTTGTCTACAAGAGAGAGGGAATAGACCAAGCGAATTCAGCCTCTCCTGATAAGACAGATGCTTTAGACCGTCAAACATCTTTGTCGCTCTGCGTTGCACCTGTTCGAGTAAGTTAATATCCTGCCTCATCCATGGTGAAGCTGCTAGCACTCCATACTCTAAATGAGGTCTTACAAAGACACCAAAGAGTTTTTCGAAGAGTTTAGGAGGAAATATTTTAAATGGATGTCTGATCCAGTGTAGAGTACTAGTTGCCTTCTGGACCATCTTTCTGCAGTGCTCTGATGGTGATAGATTGGTGGTCGTCCATACACCCAGATCTCTGTGTCTTTCCACAGCTTCTAACCTCGTCGAGTCAATATAGTACTGGTGTTTGGGATAGGCATTGCGGCCGGTGACAATGCTGATGACAATACTGGCTGTCAGACATAGAGTCTAGTTAGGGTGCTGCATTTAGCTTTGTGTAGGGCTCGTCGGCGGAAAAATTCTAGCAAGGTGGTTAATCCTGATCCAGAACATTAACCGACAGAAACCGAACAGGCCTGTGAGATTTTCTGGCGAGAAAACTTGGCTCATTGCAAACGGAGTAGATTTCGCGTACATTCTTTCAAAGGTCTTGCAAAGAAATTGACAAATGGCCAACATAATTATCCGAAGTTGCCCTGATGGCGGCAAAAATAGTGTGACGCAAGTACCTGAATTTGTTTTTTCTCTGTAAAATTTCGATATTTCCTTCGTAATTGTTTTATGCTTCCTTTCTGATTTTATGTATCGTCGCTGCTGCCAACAAACAGAAAGTTTAAAGGTGCAGATCCATACTTTCTTCAGATAAACAGAATTAAGTGTGCGTGAGTGATGACCAAACGGTGGTGCACACTTGCATCTCTGTTTACAGTCACCACCTTATCCAGTCACAGGAATCAATTGTCCGATCATACCTTAATAGCGAGTCGAACTGAGCTAAGCTGGACTGCCACACCAGTAACGCCTGCATGTCACCTACGTCCTGAAGACTAACGATAAGTGTTAAAGAGGCATCTGCAAATGAAACTAGAACGCATATAAGGTAAGGATTGTACTGAGTAGTGACCGGCAAAAATCAGTTTTCTAAAAATCAGTTTTATAAAAGGCCTAACGAATAGGATAACTATAAAATGCTGCAAAAAATGGGTTGATATTTTCGGACGAAATACTGTCAACTTCCATGTTTTGTTTAGAAACAATAAAGTCATGGCCAGAGCTGTCAAGTGGACATAGATATCACGTTTTTAGGGCAGTCATCCTCCAGAAAACAGCAGATCGTATATGTTTAATCCTAGAGTAGGAAAATCCAACGACATGATGCCAAATACCAACATACCGAACTTCAAATAAGACTTAAATCAACCCAGGACCTGGAGCTGGAAACCAGCGGACTTCAGGAAGATGGGCGTCTCATTCAATTAATTTATGCCTTAATAGGCTGCGGCATAAAGTTTCGCTGAAGAGCAAACACCGGAGTTCTCATGAACGCTGGCGGGGAGCGACAAAAATAGCAAACGAGTAAAGAATACATATTCTACATCACATTTTGGAGCCGGCAGATACCTTTCGCAGCGAAAAGTGTTGTTTAAAGGGAATATGAAGCCGCCTTTGACTAGAGCAACGTCTCTTATTTTGCTCACTAGTAGTTCAGAAGAATTGGGTGGATAGTATCGGACAGGCAAAATTGAGAACCTCCAAGCCATCAAAGAATCCGGCATTTTAAATTTAAGTCTGGTCTCCATGTGAAAATGTGATTTCTGAAGCTCAGCAGGACTAGGTGAGAACAGATTGGCTTCACCTTTTTGATGGATCCAGGGTTAAATGGAACGAAAACAATTTTAACGACTGAACAAGCCACCAGTGGATAGATGATCGCTGAGATAACGGCAGTCCGGAGTCCACTATGCGATCTCATAAACCAAATGAATCTCGAAAGGTGGTGTCTCGACTTCTATAGCCACTACTAGTGACCATTATTCATAGGCTGTAGACTGAATTTCGGCT